ATTATTTTAAAAAAAATGGTAAATTAATTTTATTTATTTATCATTGTTACTTTTAATAATTTATTGATAAATTATAATTTATATACTATTATTAATGATTGTTTAGGTATACAACTTTTAAAAATCATATCACATTGGAAGATTGTAATTAGTTTATCATTGTTATTAATGATTTATGTTGATATGTTTATATATAATAATATTAATAATAATTTATTTTATTTTTTAGATGAAATTAATGATGGAATGAATCTTGAATTATATTATTCATAATTTTTTTTATTATTCATAAATTTATCATTAATTAATTATTTTTTTCTTTTCATTGTTTTATTAATTTTTTTAATGATCAATCAAATTTAAAATAAAGACAGTGTTCATCTATAAATTATTAATTATAATGGTAAAATTCTTGAAACCAAGCAGAGTTGCATCTGGTAAATATTCTGGATGATTTGATTGTAAAAAACCTTGATGAAGGTGCTATGGAACATTCTATAGCCATTATATACCATCTGGAATAGAAAACATACATTAAAAGTGACAAACCATATTGGTGCTAAATGTATTGCCAAACGTTTTAAAGATGAACCTTTCATAAAAACATCAATTATAGCATTTAATGCTAACCAGATATACCTTTGAATTGGAAGATATCAAACAGTTAGTTAACAATGAATGTTTCAAAGAACCAAGTCACTGATTATCAACTAAAAGCTTTAAAGAAAACTATATAAACAAGATATAAATCAGGAAAGTGTTTTTTACTAAATCGAGATTTTAAAATTTTTAATTTATTATCAAGTTCTCTTTTATATATATTTATTTATTTATTTATTTCACCTTTGTATAATTGTTCTTTTATTAATGTTAAAAATATTATTTGTTCTATTTATCATCAACATCATTGACGTTTAAATATAAATAGAATTATACATTAGAAATGTCATTATTAGAAGAATCAGGTTTCTTTAAAGTGATCTTTGAATAGTTTTGAGCTGTAATATTTTCTTGTTAAAAAAAAAAATTTATTTATATATTAGATTTTAAAATTATTTATTATTATAATATTGTAAATTAGAAAAGAAAGTGAAAAAAGTTTTACCAGGTTGAACAAAATTAAATACATTCTGCCAATTATGAAGCACATTACCAATAACTAATAATAATGAATGTTATATGTGTTTATATAAAAAATACGTACACATGTAGTATGTATGTTGTAAATACCTTCACATCCTTCATTTAACTGTTGAATTTGTAAAGCCAATTGATCAAAATATTCTGCTAATTCTTCTGAAGTTTTCTTCATTTTAATAAATTTTCATATTCTTTTTGTTTTTCTTGAATTCTAATATTAAAAAGTATTTGTTTGGCAGTAGGAATATCTTGTTTTTGTCGTTGTTGTAAATTTTTATTATCATTAGTATTAGTAGTTATTGGTGCAGATCCCTGCTGAGGAGGTGTTGTAGAGGTATTAAGTGA